AACTGCCACGTCTACTACGACTACTGTGTGTACTGTGTGTACTGTGTGTACTGCGTGTACTGCTACTAGAGCTACTACTGCACGTTTACACTAGAGCTTTTCTGTCTCTCTACTGCATATTTAAACAGAAAAGATGTCTTTGAAGACTGAGAACCAGGAACTGCACGAGAGGATCCGAAACTTAGAAAATCAGAACCAGGAACAGCTCAAGAGGATCCAAAGCTTAGAACATGAGAACCAAGATCTGAGAGAGAGGATGGAAAAGTCCTCGGATAGGAACCAGCATCTGCAGGAGACGATCCAAATCTTATCGGGCAGGATCAAGTGCCACTTAGAAGAACAGCTCAAGGAACAGGAGGAGCTCCGCTCGCACCACAAGTTGCTGGAGGAAACTCTGATGAGGTGCGACGAAAGAGTTGACGTCTGCCCTCACCTGCGAGAACTGAAGGAGGAACGTCGAAAACATGCAAATTTGAAGGAGGAGCTGGAAGAGTTGAGGACAGTAGTCGATGACACAGGCTCTCGTGAAATGTTTATAAAATCTTATAAGAAGAACATGTCCGCAGATCTGAAAAGAGTGGAGAACAGGTTATCGGAGGAGCGTAAAGAGACAGAGAGACAACGACAGAGGAACAAAGAACTGTCGGAGGAGATGGAGATTCTCTATGATGAACTTCAAAAGATCGAACAGGAGAACACAGGTCTGCAAGGGCAAATCCAGCAGATGCGTGAAGAGCTGCAGAAAGCCCACGCCGAGCTGGAGAGCTCCACGAAGACGTTAGCAGAGGAGCAGAGGAGAAAGCAACTTCTCACACCACTGGAGGAAAAATACGAACTCCACGACGAAGAAGAAGAAGACGAGGACAAGAGCGTGACAGGAGAAGAAGAGGAGAAGGAGGAGAAGGAGGAAGAGGAGAAGGAGGACGGGGAGGAGGAGAGTGGTGGAAGAGAGAGGGCTGGGACAAACTAGATGAAACCCCAGCTTAGACCTGGGTTAGACCTGGGTTAGAGATCAGGTTTAGATTGGGTTTTTAAACCTGGTTTAAACCTGGTTTAGCAGGTACAGAGTGAATGAATAAAGCTGAATAATGTTGTGTAAAACATCTTTGTGACATAAATGTGTGTGAAAAGTGTTGTAGAAATAAAGCGTGACTCACGTGTGTTTGGTTTTATGACACGTCTCTATTCAGACGCGCCGTTATTACAACATGTTTTATATTTGTCACTACAAAATAAATAAACTATTCCAAATATGTTTAAATATATCAACATTTCATCATTTCTAAATCAAATTATTGAAAAAACTGATAAATGAAAAAATGAAACTGAAAAAATGATAAAAAATTTGCTTGCAAGGACTGACATATTTTATAGAAATAGTTTCCTTTCATTTTGAAGTAATATTAAAGTATTCGGAAGAAAAAAGCGACGAATTATGTAAAATCATGCACCTTCTACTTGCTTGTACAATTTTCCCTCCGTAACTGTCAAATGTGTCGCATGAAAAAAGTTTTCTTTCCTCTGAACAAACAACAAAAATGTAGAACTGTATCGTAATAATTGTGTGTGTATAGTGTGTGTGTGTGTTATGTGTGTTTGTGTGTGTTATGTGTGTGTGTGTGTGTATTAAGTGTGTGTTATGTGTGTGTTATGTGTATGTGTGTGTGTGTTATGTGTGTGTGTGTTATGTGTGTGTTGTGTGTGTGTGTTATGTGTGTGTGTGTTATGTGTGTGTGTGTGTTATGTGTGTGTGTGTGTTATGTGTGTGTGTGTGTGTTATGTGTGTGTGTGTGTTATGTGTATGTGTGTTATGTGTGTGTGTGTGTTATGTGTATGTGTGTTATGTGTGTTGTGTTTGTGTGTGTTGTGTGTGTGTTATGTGTGTGTTATGTGTATGTGTGTTATGTGTGTGTATAGTGTGTGTGTGTTATGTGTGTTTGTGTGTGTGTGTGTGTATAGTGTGTGTGTGTGTGTGTGTGTGTGTGTGTGTGTGTTTGTGTGTGTGTGTGTGTTGTGTGTTTGTGAGTGTGTGTGTGTATGTATGTGTGTGTGTGTGTGTGTGTGTGTGTCACATTCTAGAATCTAAAATAGTTTTGGAGCCTGAGAAGCTGTCGCCGTAGCAACGTGATGTTCTAATGCCGTCCTGGATCTCCATGGTGACAGAACTCTGATTTATGACATCATCAGAGAAGCTCGACGCTGCTTTGAAGTAAACTTTGAGTGACACAGTGAAATAAACACTAAAGTGACAGAATACTTTTACTAATACTTTTATTACTGCTACTTCAAAGCAGTACTCTGCTTTATGACGTCATCAGTAAAGGACAAGAACAAAGCACAAAGCAATTGACTGTTTTGAAGAAGATTATAAGTGTAACACGAAACAAACACTACAGACACAGAAAACTGCCACGTCTACTACGACTACTGTGTGTACTGTGTGTACTGTGTGTACTGCGTGTACTGCTACTAGAGCTACTACTGCACGTTTACACTAGAGCTTTTCTGTCTCTCTACTGCATATTTAAACAGAAAAGATGTCTTTGAAGACTGAGAACCAGGAACTGCACGAGAGGATCCGAAACTTAGAAAATCAGAACCAGGAACAGCTCAAGAGGATCCAAAGCTTAGAACATGAGAACCAAGATCTGAGAGAGAGGATGGAAAAGTCCTCGGATAGGAACCAGCATCTGCAGGAGACGATCCAAATCTTATCGGGCAGGATCAAGTGCCACTTAGAAGAACAGCTCAAGGAACAGGAGGAGCTCCGCTCGCACCACAAGTTGCTGGAGGAAACTCTGATGAGGTGCGACGAAAGAGTTGACGTCTGCCCTCACCTGCGAGAACTGAAGGAGGAACGTCGAAAACATGCAAATTTGAAGGAGGAGCTGGAAGAGTTGAGGACAGTAGTCGATGACACAGGCTCTCGTGAAATGTTTATAAAATCTTATAAGAAGAACATGTCCGCAGATCTGAAAAGAGTGGAGAACAGGTTATCGGAGGAGCGTAAAGAGACAGAGAGACAACGACAGAGGAACAAAGAACTGTCGGAGGAGATGGAGATTCTCTATGATGAACTTCAAAAGATCGAACAGGAGAACACAGGTCTGCAAGGGCAAATCCAGCAGCAGATGCGTGAAGAGCTGCAGAAAGCCCACGCCGAGCTGGAGAGCTCCACGAAGACGTTAGCAGAGGAGCAGAGGAGAAAGCAACTTCTCACACCACTGGAGGAAAAATACGAACTCCACGACGAAGAAGAAGAAGACGAGGACAAGAGCGTGACAGGAGAAGAAGAGGAGAAGGAGGAGAAGGAGGAAGAGGAGAAGGAGGACGGGGAGGAGGAGAGTGGTGGAAGAGAGAGGGCTGGGACAAACTAGATGAAACCCCAGCTTAGACCTGGGTTAGACCTGGGTTAGAGATCAGGTTTAGATTGGGTTTTTTTTAAACCTGGTTTAAACCTGGTTTAGCAGGTACAGAGTGAATGAATAAAGCTGAATAATGTTGTGTAAAACATCTTTGTGACATAAATGTGTGTGAAAAGTGTTGTAGAAATAAAGACTCACGTGTGTTTGGTTTTATGACACGTCTCTATTCAGACGCACCGTTATTACAACATGTTTTATATTTGTCACTACAAAATAAATAAACTATTCCAAATATGTTTAAATATATCAACATTTCATCATTTCTAAATCAAATTATTGAAAAAAACTGATAAATGAAAAAATGAAACTGAAAAAATGATAAAAAATTTGCTTGCAAGGACTGACATATTTTATAGAAATAGTTTCCTTTCATTTTGAAGTAATATTAAAGTATTCGGAAGAAAAAAGCGACGAATTATGTAAAATCATGCACCTTCTACTTGCTTGTACAATTTTCCCTCCGTAACTGTCAAATGTGTCGCATGAAAAAAGTTTTCTTTCCTCTGAACAAACAACAAAAATGTAGAACTGTATCGTAATAATTGTGTGTGTATAGTGTGTGTGTATAGTGTGTGTGTGTGTTATGTGTGTTTGTGTGTGTTATGTGTGTGTGTATTATGTGTGTGTTATGTGTATGTGTGTGTGTGTTATGTGTGTGTGTGTTATGTGTGTGTGTGTTATGTGTGTGTGTGTGTGTGTGTGTGTGTGTGTGTGTGTGTGTGTTATGTGTGTGTGTGTGTGTGTGTGTTATGTGTGTGTGTGTGTGTGTGTTATGTGTGTGTGTGTTAGTGTGTGTGTGTGTGTGTTATGTGTGTGTGTGTTATGTGTGTGTGTGTGTGTGTGTGTGTGTGTGTGTGTGTGTGTGTGTGTTATGTGTGTGTGTGTGATGTGTGTGTATAGTGTGTGTGTGTTATGTGTGTGTTGTGTGTGTGTTGTGTGTGTGTTATGTGTGTGTTATGTGTGTGTATAGTGTGTGTGTGTTATGTGTGTGTTATGTGTGTGTATAGTGTGTGTGTTATGTGTGTGTTATGTGTGTTATGTGTGTGTGTGTTATGTGTGTGTTATGTGTGTGTTGTGTGTGTTATGTGTGTGTTGTGTGTGTTATGTGTGTGTTGTGTGTGTGTGTGTTATGTGTGTGTGTGTGTGTGTTTGTGTGTGTTGTGTGTGTGTGTGTGTGTGTGTTATGTGTGTGTATAGTGTGTGTGTGTTATGTGTGTGTGTGTGTGTTTGAGTGTTGGTGATTGGAGAGTCTGATGGTGCAGATTGGCAGCCACACTTCCGTCAGTCTGCCCCAGGGCAGCTGTGGCTACAGTAGTATCTTCCCGCCCCAGAACATGGAGTGAAAGCATGGAGTGAGTGAATAGTGCTGTCAAGTGCTTTGGATGTCTTCAAAGACACAATTTAAACGCAATGATTAGTTAATGAATTCATTCATTAGAGTGCCTGGAGACAGAGAGAGAACATGCAAACTCTGCACAGAGACGCCTGAGGGTCAGCGAGTCTAACCAGGAACCTTTGTGCTGTGAGGTATGAAGTAGTAGTAGCAGTAGCTGTAGTTGTAGCAGTAGTAATAGTAGTAGTAGTCGCAGTAGTTGTTGTTGAAAGCTATATTAGTAGTAGTAGTGGTAGTGGTAGTCATAGTTGTAGCAGTACTTGTAGCAGTAGTTGTTGTTGTAGGCTGTAGTAGTAGTAGTAGTAGTCGTAGTAGTAGTAGTAGTAGTAGTAGTAGTAGTAGTAGTAGCAGTAGTAGCAGTAGCAGTAGTAGTAGTAGCTGTCGTTGTAGGAGTAGTAATAGTAATAGTAGTAGTAGTAGTAGTAGTAGTAGCAGTAGCAGTAGTAGTAGTAGTAGTAGTAGTAGCTGTCGTTGTAGGAGTAGTAATAGTAGTAGTAGTAGCAGTAGCAGTAGCAGTAGTAGTAGTAGTAGTAGTAGTAGTAGTAGTAGTAGTAGTAGTAGTAGTAGTAGTAGCTGTAGTTGTAGGAGTAGTAATAGTAGTAGTAGTAGCAGTAGCAGTAGCAGTAGTAGTAGTAGCTGTCGTTGTAGGAGTAGTAATAGTAGTAGTAGTAGTAGTAGTAGTTGTTGTTGTTGTCGCAGTAGTAGTAGGAGTAGTAGTAGTAGTAATTGTAGCAGTAGTAATAGTAGGAGTAGCAGTAGTAGTAGTAGTAGTAGTAGTAGTAGTAGCTGTCGTTGTAGGAGTAGTAATAGTAGTAGTAGTAGTAGCAGTAGTAGTAGGAGTAGTAGTAGTAGTAGTAGTAATTGTAGCAGTAGTAATAGTAGGAGTAGCAGTAGTAGTAGTAGTAGTAGTAGTAGTAGTAGTAGCTGTCGTTGTAGGAGTAGTAATAGTAGTAGTAGTAGTAGTAGTAGTAGCAGTAGCAGTAGCAGTAGTAGTAGTCGCCACCATGCTGACTTCTCAGAAAGGCGAGTTATTCAAAAACAAGCAGAAGTAGTAAAAGTAATAGTTGCCGTTGTTGCAGCAGTAGTAGTAGTTGTAACCACAAAGTCAAGTTCTCCAAAATCATGTATATACTTCTTTCTAACTTTAACTAAACCGTGTGTACTTCTCTACAGCTTTAGCTAAGAGGATAAATCGAACGTGAATCAAACCGAAAGCTCAAACAGGACTCGACTGGACCAGTGAGAATTCATTAATGCAGTTTACTCCAAATACTAAGCCATAAAATTAGTGAAAAATGCTCCAAAATAACACAGCCACACATTATTGAACCTACTCCTTGGAAAGCCGGCTTTATAGAACCAAACATTCAATATTTCTTAAGACATTTCAGAATCATAATTAGATTTAGCCTGTGGAAAAGCTCGTTAAAACAAACCAGCGGTATTAATTCATCTTATTCTCTCCCGTTGTCTCTGGTGGGAGTGGAGGACTTGTCATATCTCCTTTATCGACCCGCGTTACCGTGACAGTCGTATTAAAAAGCGCCTATGTAAGCTTTAACGCACGGACCACACAAACCGGGGCCACACCTCTCCTCCGTCAGGACTTCTGCTATCGACCGGCTCTTTCCCCCACAGACCTTAACCATACGGGTACGGTTAAGGTCGGTTAAGGTCCACGGGAAAGTCCACTGTCAGCAATTATTATATTCACTTATCACCATGGCAGCCAATGGAATGAAAGTTCTAGGTAAAGTTCAATGCGCACGGTATTGATTCGGTTCATTTTTCATGCTGTCATATAAAGCATACGGGGAATGTGCTCAGAATAAATGAGGGTTAAGAAGAACTTTGACAACATTTATTGATTTTGGAGAAGTTGGATTAGAGTTCAATCCCGTATGTGTTGATGGGACAAAACTTCTCGGCAAAGATGGTACTATTATCAAGATGTCATACACCAGGAAGTAACCAGTGTTGGATGAAGTTCTCAGTTTTGTTACTTAATTAAAAGTACAGATACCGGGGCAAAAGTTGGATTAGAGTTGAATCCCGATCTTGATGTCAACGAAATCACAGTACTCTCTAAGGGACCGTGTAAGTGTGGAAGTACTGGTAGATTTTAAACATGATGTTCTCAAGGTCAACATCAATTGTGTCGGCCCCATGATGAACACAATTGCTCAATATGTGTGCTGGGCAACCCAAGCCAATTAGAGTTTTGTTCTGCAGTAACTTCTTCAAATTTGATAACAGTTTCCCCCATCGCACGTCAACATTCCACCCAAATTTGTGTTGCAATTATCTCCAATAAATGCAATGCATTTTGAAGAGAAATTGTTTTTGCCAATAATTGCAATGGTGTTTGCTGTTTCATTAGGTGTGTCTTTCACCTCAATTAATTTTGTTTGCACACCGCCTTTCTTCCAGTCATAGTACTGGATTATGATGGGGAATATTTTCACTGCTTCGTGGTTACTCCCATTTGTACTTATACCAAAATACTGGACTTTCGTCAGTGCTTCATGTGTGACTTCAACAGAGTGGGGTGCCAAAACACCATTCACAAAGCCTCGGTCTTAGGGCAGGCACAACTATACTTTTTGGTGGTGTCAGAATCAAGGAATGCCCTTTAAAGCAATGCACTACTGTAATCCATGCACCTGTAACTGTGGTGGTGTTTGACAGTGTGAAATGACAGCGCACCCTCCGCTGCATTCACAACATCCCTGGATTTTCCTTGTTTCACTAAGAACTCCGTTATACACGTTACACTACTCTCACCTCGCAAAGCTTTTTTATGTTTTTCGGTGTCCTGGTGAGCTTTGAGGTTCCTGGCACCTCCACCTGACGCTGAAACAAATGTGCTGCTTTGTACACTGTGCACAAGGCCTCCCACTTGTCCCAACAGGGACGGAAAGCAGGGAATTTCTTTTCCAAGTTGAATTTTAGGTCATCACTGGATGAGCTGCCCGCGGGGAGGCAGTTCTATGTTGCGGGAAATGGGAGAGTCCGTAGGCGGCTGCCGCCGTCTGGCGCTGGGGGTGACGCAGCCAGCGGTGGGAATGCCGTGGGAATGCTGGGGGAACGCGGTGCACGGACACTTGAAGTTCTGCTGCTCAGTCCGTAAGTGATAAACTTTACACACTTGTACACTGGAACGTGAATGGATGGACGGACCTGAACTCTGAACTCAGACGACGTATATTACTGAGTTTTGATCCCGACTTTATCTCACTCAATGAAACCCATTTGACTGGAGAAAACTTGACAGACATCAATGGCTATACGTGGTTTGGACAAAATAGAAGAACTCATATTAAAGCCAAAAGAGGCTCAGGAGGGGTTGGTATTCTTATTAAAAATGATGAACCTTGCAAGAATTTGATGTACTTTTAGTTGATAAATCTGATGAGGGTATAATGTGTGTTCATCTTCAGCATGCTGTCTCTAAGTACTCCGTGGCTTTACTCTCTTGTTACCTCCCCCCTGAAGGATCCACATGGGCTGACCCACAGAGGTTGTACAACAATCTTTTGGTTAAAATGTATAATTTGGTTAAATGTGATGCAGTCTATGTTTGTGGAGATTTTAATAGTCGAATTGGGTGTTCAGTTGACTGGATTTGTGATTCTGATTTGGGAATTTCCCAAAGAGAGTGTCTAGATGTAACAACTGGTCTGGTTGTAACAACTTCACCTCTATAACTGTAAGAGGAAGAGCAGTGGTGGACGATATTATCACACCTCATGATTGTTTGCATTCTTCATTGAACTTGGACATTTATAGCCCAAATGAACTCCTTGAGAGGGGGGGTCCTTTTTGTTTTGATTTATTGGATTATTAATGTAAAATGCCAGATCATTCTATGTTGGTTGTAACATTTAAAGGTAGACAAAATAGTTTTGTTTTAAGTAACCATCAACCTAGACAATATAATCAAATAAACCTAAGGAAGTTACCCCCCTATATATTTGCAAATGAACAGTTTCAGAATGCAGTTTCCTTGTTTGTAGATAAACTGACTCTTGCCAGTAACCAAAATTTGATCAATGAAGTATATGAAGAGTTATGTTGCTATGTGTAGGATGTTAAATCTGGCAAAGGGGTGAATCTGACAAGAAAGCAAAGTAAAATAATTGGTAAACCCTATTGGAGTAGAGAGTTAGAGACTCTGTGGAAAGACATGAGGCGAGCTGAAAAACGTTATTTGTTGTGTAAAGGTATAAATAAACAACAACTTAGACTTGAATACAAAGACAAGCAGCACCAGTTTGATAAAAAAAACTCAGAGCTTATAAAAGAAGAAGACAAAGAGGGCAGGCATTACAAATTGAATACAGTCAAACACATAATTCTCAATTATTTTGGAGCATGGTGAATAAACTAGGCCCACAAAAGGTCAAACAAATCCCTGTAGAGGTGATCTCAGATGATGGCTCCTTAGTTTTTGATATCGAAAGTGTTCTGAAAAAGTGGGGAACTGACTTTGGAATTTTGTTTGCAGGAAGTTTTGTCTCCTCTGAGTGGAATGAGTCTTATTTGGAAATGGCAGTGACTCAAAGAAATCAAATGGAGATGTGTAAACAGTTCACCTTCCCTAATCCTTATTTAAACTTTGATATTACAGAGGATGAATTAAAAAAGGCCATTGATAAATCAAAAGTTAAGAAAGCCACTGGATTTGATAATTTGTCCAATGAACTGCTAAAACAGCCTGGTCTGTTCCCAGTGCTTTACAGTCTTTTATTTACCTGTTTTAAACAGGGTCTTGTCCCCTCTGATTGGCAAAAATCTATTATTAAACCAATACCAAAGTGTCAACTGCAGATCCCCGAGTCCCCATGAACTACAGGGGCATCAGCCTTCTTAGTTGTGTGTATAAACTTTATTCGAGTGTTCTTAATGAGAGGCTGCTCTGTTACCTTGAATCCTTTAATGTATTGGCAGAGGAGCAGAATGGGTTTAGGAAGAAAAGAGCCTGTATAGATCACATATATTCTTTAACTTCTATAGTAAATGTTAGAAAAGAAGAGGGAAATTCTACCTTTGTTTGTTTTATAGATTTTCAGAAAGCCTTTGATTGTGTAAATCGGGACCTGCTCTATTTTCAGCTGTTACAAACTGGTATTGACGGTAGATTTTATGAGTCAATCAAAGCTATCTGTAACAATCCCATATCTTGTGTCCAGGTTAATGAGCACTTGACTGACTGGTTCCCAACACCACACGGTGTAAAGCAGGGTGATGTGCTATCTCCCACATTATTTGCTATTTTCATCAATAATTTGGTAAATGAAGTAAAAGAAGCAAATGTTGGCGTTAATGTGGGAGATCTAAAAGTGTGTATATTGCTTTATGCTGATGATATAGTGCTTATTTCAGAAAATGAACTGGATCTTCAAAGGATGTTGAATATTGTCCATACCTGGTGCAACCAAATGAGACTGAAGATAAATTGTGAGAAAACTCAGGTGATTCATTTTAGAAAACAGAGCCATAAATTGACAAACTTTCAATTCCATTTTGGTGCCACTTCCTTGTCCTTAACAAAAAAGTACAAATATTTGGGACTTGTTTTGGATGAACATCTTACATTTGATGAAGGAATCAAAGCTCTGTCAGAGTCAGCAGGTCGAGCCTTATGTGCACTGATAAACAAAGTTAAAGCATGTCGTGACCTGGGCTACAAAACCTACACTGAACTGTCCAGGGCCTGTGTCTGTCCTGTTCTGGACTATGGAGCTGGAGTCTGGGGTCACTGTAAACACACCCACAGTGAAAAAGTTCAGTGCAGAGCTCTGAGGTACTTTTTAGGCGTGCACAAAAAGGCGCCTAAACTTGCTCTGTATGGAGATATGGGCTGGAACCATGTGAAGTGAGACACATTTGTGACATGGTGCGGTTATGGAACAGGTTGGTTAATTTGCCAGACACAAGATTAACCAAACATGTATTTAACTGGAGTCTGTTACATAAATCGTCCTGGAGTAGAGAGATGGAGAAAATTTTTGAGATTGCAGATCTCCAGTTTATTTACAGAAATAAGTTAATCTGTAGTGTTCGACAAGTGAGGAACATTTACTTTGTAAGTATAAACAAAAGTGGCACAATGACATCTTCTGTAAACCAAAATTAAGAACATATATCTTAATTAAAGACTGTTTTGGACCTGAACCATATGTCACCCTGAACCTGAGCAGAGGTCAGAGGTCAGTATGTGCCCAGTTGAGGTGTGGGACTCTGCCTCTGGCCTTGGAGACGGGACGATTCCACTCTGTCCCAGAGGAGGAGCGCACTTGTGTCTGTGCGATTTAAAGGACATTGAAAATGAAATGCATTTTTTGTTTTACTGTCCTTTGTATCATGACCTTCGCTGTCAGTTGTTGTCTAATGTGTCTTTCTGTTGGTTTGTTATGTCTGATAAGGAGAGACTTAAGTATTTGTTTAAAAGTAATGTTTTTAAGTTGGCTCAGATTGTGCTGAAAGCCTGGGACCTCCGTAAGAGGACACTTTATGTTTGATGTGTGATCTGTCTGCTTATTGTTTTATGTGTCTTATAAGTCCATGTGGGCTGGGCACCAACTAATGGTGCATGACACTAAATAAGTAAAATAAATTAAACTAAAACTAAACTAAACTCCAAGTCATCATTTGCGCTTCGGCATGTTGCAAACTGACTGTTAGCGCTACCAAACTGAAGGTGCTCAGGGATGTGTGCACAGTGCCCTAGAGCCAGTCAATTTAATGGCTCAATGAAAGATAATGAAAACATGGACATTTGCATCACTTTATAAAAAAAAAAAAACTAAAAAAAAAAACGGATGGCCAGAACAGGATGTAAAAAACGGACATTTCTAGGGAAAAACGGATATTTGGTCGCCCTAGTAGAAGTAGTAGTTGTTGTAGGTTGTAGTAGTAGTAATAGGCAAAAGATTACTCAAGTAAAAGTAAAGTATGACTTGAAAAAATGTACTTAAGTAAAACTATTGAAGTACCTAGTTTAAAATTGTACATTAAGAGTCAAAAGTAAAAGTATTTTGCAGAGACTTTTAGAACAAAAGGATGAAATGTAGTGATTTTGAAGAAAGAAATTAGCAGATGTTAAGTGATTTTATTTATTTCATAATTTTTCTCACTGTTTTTGTGCATTTGTGTATTTGTTTGCTCAAAGTTGGGACAGAAACTCAAATTAAATGTGCTAAAAATAAGTCACTTATTACTTTTTATTTTTCAGTCCAGATCTAAAATGTAGTGGAGTAGAAAGTACAGATATCTGCTCTGAAATGTAGTGAAGTAAAAGTAAAAAGTATCCACTGTAAAATGTACTTAAGTAAAGTGCAGATACCTAAAAAGTATTGCACATGTACTTTTGCACTTTCTTACCTTCTACTACTGATGCGGTGACATAAGAAAATATGAACTAAACTAAACTAAACTAAACTAAACTAAACTAAACTATGGACTAAACTTTAATTCCTGTGCTGTGTGCTGTTGATGTGACAAAAGGTCTTTGCAAAGTTCCATGCACAAGATAGTAATGTTATTCATTTTTCATTCTTTCATAAAAGAAACACCAAGGTGAGGGGAGTTCTGAAAACATCCTGTTTTACAGACAAGGCTCATGGTGATTTTTGTAGAAGTTATAAACTGTGTTTGAATGTGTAGACGGGCGAAAAAATCAAATGCACAAGACAGTCACTTTAAACCATTTTGGAAACTATCAAATAAGAAACACTGAGATGAGATGTGTTTAGAACAGATTACAATTCTTTTGAAGGTGCACTGTGTAACTTCAAATAACGACTTTGGTGGCACACACTGAGCAGTTTTTGAATATTTTTTTATCATATCATGCAATTTTAACCGGCTAAGAAGTGCAGCATGTGCATGTATGTAAAGGACACAAAAAAGAGAAAGCTTGATTGTATGAAATGAGCAGTTTGTTTTTACTGTATCCATAGAGACCGTACCCTGCAAGAGGCTAGTTGAGGACCTAGTGGACAAGCTCGCTCTGGACACTTGAGATGCTACAACATATGTGGCCACAAATACGTCAGAAGAGCTTCCAGAAGAAACACTTTGAGGGAATGGACCATTTCATCACCAATGGAAGCACTAGACAGACTG